GTTAAACAAAAAGGCAGGCAAACGGCCGGGCACAAACAAAAAAGGCCAAAAGGGCGCAGGTTAAACTAAAGAGCAAACAAAAGGAGGACTCTAATAAAATGAACCTGTTCAAAATAGAGATAAGGATTTACAACAAAACGAACACCAAAAAGAGACTGTAGACAAACAGATAGCTGTTTGCTTGCATTTTACATAACAGACTGTATGTGGTTTGTCTTGTGTGTCATGTTTTGCATTTTGTTTATGTATGTCTGTAAGTTGTTGCTATTGTCGGGACCCCCTTGAAAACGAGATGGTGCATCTCAAGGGGTTTATCCCAATGAATAAAAATGTCTATATCTGTGAGTACAACAACTCAACGTAGTACTAGGCTAAACACCATAAATCACAATAACAGTAACCACTACCACAAGAGGTACATAGTTAACAGCAAATAAGCAAGAAGCGTGAGGCATCTGTACACACACACAACAGAGCCTCCCGAATGATGACAGTCGACCGGCTTTATAGTCCTCCCCTGGAAGGTGTGCGCTGGTTGTGTGCTGGGATTGGAGCGCGTCGGGCCCGTCAGCTCCAATCACAGTCTTCGAGGCGGCCCAGAGGATGGGCAGCCAATGACATCAGGGCCACTGCAACGTTCATTTAAATATCACACAGAACAGAGTAAATAGGACCGGGGAATCAGCGGCCGTGACAAGGTCCAAAAGGATGATGACAGAGGAGAGGGAGGCTGCTTTAGCCGTGTGCAGTTCCTCAGAGACAGCAAGGAGAGCAGTTTCTGTTGAGTGACCTGCCTTGAAACCAGACTGGTCCGGATCCAGCAGGTTGTTCTGATGGAGATAACAGGAGAGTTGTTTAAAGACAGCGCGTTCAAGTGTTTTAGACAGGAACGGGAGGAGAGAGACAGGCCTGTAGTTTATAACATCAGACGGGTTGAGAGTGGGTTTCTTTAGGAGAGGGTTTACTCTTGCCTCCTTGAGACTGTTTGGAAAGTGACCAGAAGTTAGAGAAGTGTTGATGAAATGGGTTAGAAACGGTAGAATATCAGGAGCGATAGTCTGAAGGAGGTTTGAGGGGATAGGGTGGGGGCAGAGGTAACGAGGGTAAGAACCTCACTTGGAGAGAGAGGGGAGAAGGAGGTCAGTGTGTGGGTGAAAGGAGGGTCTGGTGACCCAGCGGTGAGTAAAGATGAGTCAGAAAAAGAAGAACGAATGTCATCAACCTTTTTTTCAAAGTGGTTAACAATAGTCGCTTGCAGAAGGGAGGAGGGGGAGGGCTTTGGGGGTCCAAGAGGGTGGAGGAAATGGAAATAAGTTTTTGGGATTGGGAATAGAAGCTGGATACTATCTTGAAAGGAAAGTGGTTTGGCCTGATAGACGAGAGCACAGAAAGAGGGAGGAGAGGCCTGATAGGTTAGGAAGTCGCCTTGGTGTTGGATTTCACCCATTTCCGCTCAGACTGCCGGAAAGGATCGTCCTATTAGCACACAGTGCATCATTTTAGCCAGGGAGCAGGGAGGACTGACGAGCTGCCGCCGAGATGTGAGAGGATCAGAAGAGTCCAGAGAGAATGAGAGAGTAGAGAGGAGAGTTTCTGTAGCAGAGTTTGGAGCAGGAGTGGAACGAGTCAGACGAGAGAGGGCTGGTATCAGCCGGGCTGAGTACCCGCCAAAGGTATGAGGGGAGAGGGAACGGGAGTTACGGGACAGTTGCAGAATTAGAAGAACTAGATTTTTGGTTTGGAGAGGGTAGAGAGAATGAAATGAAGAAGTGATCGAGAGGTGGATGCGGGGTTACAGATAGGTTAGAAGTATGCATCCGTTGAGAATCAGAGGATCAACGACACTTGCCCAGCTTTATGAGTGGTGGGGATGGAGGAACAGGGAGAAAGCAAAGGTGGTAAACAGTTATATAGTTTGTCTATCTTTCTTCCCTGTTTTTTTTTTTTCTATGGAGGTTGAAGTCCCCGAGACAGTCAGCGGGAGGCCAGTTGTAACGATTCAGGGGATGTGTGAGAGGAGATTATCTAATTCCTCCAAGAATTCCCCCAAGGGACCTGGTGGGACGGTAGAGAACAACAATGGTTAATTTATAGGATGGTGTTACTGTGACGGCATGAATTCAAAGGGTGGAAGGGTGAAGTTAGTAGCTTGAAGAGTGGAAAAAGCTCAGTTGAAGAGAGCAGGAGACCAGTGCCACCTCCTCTCCAGTGGGTCTGGGTGTGGTGGGTGAAGGAATATGCTGTGGAGAGAGCGCTGGGTGGATGTGCTTGGATGGAGTAATCCAGTTCTCCAGGGAGAGCAAGGAAATCCAGAGACTGCAGGGAAGCGTAGCCAGGAGATGAATCAGCTTTAGGAACAGCTGACTGGCAGTTCCACAGCCACCTGTAACTAGATGTTGGATCCAGGGAGCATGTGGGATAACGAGAGGCAGGCCGGTTACCCAGTTATATCGGTTAGGAGATGATAATTGCGAGAAACACATGAACAGGAAGGCGAAATACACATGATTAGTAGATGAGGGGCTAAAAAAGAAACAAACACCCAGCGATACTTAGCTCAAATCAAGTAGGATTTGCCTCCCTCGTGGAACTCCCGCAGGACCTTCTAATGGTCTTCGTCAGTCTGGAACTCCAGGAAAGGAGCTGCTAAAAATGGAACTTTGTCCTGATTGCTGAGTTGTCACAGCTGGTTGCCTACTGCCCCTTTAATTAATTACTCTACAGATGGATGGGCGACAGCGGCCTTTAGTCTAATTATAATGCAACTATTTCAGACAAGGTCCACTGAGCCCTGATAAAGTGATCTGATAATTCCAAAACACACAATTGTAGCTAGACATAACTACAACAACATTATACAGAGAGAATAAATGAAACAGAGAGTTCTCATTGCACTTTCATACTGCAAAAAATGTAATACGAAATATTGATGGACAATACAGTATAAAAGATTTGAGCTTTATTCTGATTGGTTTTCTGGGACATATTTTACAATAGTGTTTTCTTCTTACCTTTACAGTGCTGGGAAAGAGAGAGAATTGTTATTTTCTTGTGTTATTTAGAAGACTTAAGATCTTTTCTCATTGCATGAACAGGCCTATTCATCCATTTTGTAGCGTACTCTGAATAAAAATGAAAGCTTTGAGAACAATACATTAGATCAGGAGGTGTCAAACTTCAAGGCCCGCGCGCGGCCAAGACCAAACAATGCCGGCCACGGCCGTCATTTGATCGTGCCCTGCATGAGCTTGCAAAGAATATAATATACAACATGGTTAATTGTTGAATATTTTATTTCAAATTATTTGCCCTAACACTCTAATTTCAGCATTAATTATTTATGAATGATACTTACCATAAATACTAATCCAAGCAGAAGCCAAATAATGGTAATCTATAATACATATAATCCTTATATTATTATACACACACAAACATACTCTTCTCTCTTTCCTCCTTCTCTTACACTTATGCTACACGACCATCCAAACTACCCTATATTAAACACACACACTACACTACACACAATGTAACACAGTTACTTACACACAAGAACACCCACTGTCTACTCTCTCACACACACACCACAACACAACAGCTACCCGACAACTTATCACACCACACTATTTATATGTATCTAGTTTTGAGTTACAACCGGCCCTATTGAGTGCAACTCCATATACTGCTAATGGTGCTCCCGTCCACTGGACAATGAGTTGTACACCCCTGCATTAGATGAAGGGGAACCCGAAAACACCGCTAAAACGGTAAACAGGCAAAGTTCTACTTGATATATCACCTTTTCAACACAAGGCTATTTAAAAGGCTCCATCACTATGTGATCTGAGAACTCAGCAGTCATTCATACGGACATATCTCAGAAAGTAAGACTTAAGGTAGCCTATTCGCAAAAGAACACATAAATAGACTTTCCATCACCGTGGAAACCAAAAGGTCAAACGACAAAGACAACGAGAACCGAGGGTCAAGAGCGAAGGAGGAAGAAGTGATAAGGGACCCACCATCCTANGGTGGGGGGGTGGGGGTGTGTGGAGAGAAACTCCCTCTGGAGGGAAAACAGGGATTTTAGCCTCTACAGACCATTTACATGCACAAAAAAACACACTACAGGAAAGGGAAAACCACGAAAGCATGAGAGGGCCTCTTTAAAGCGACAATATGAAATCGGATGAAAATATGATTTTGAATACAACCCCCCCCAGATCCTTATGGTAACCTTATCATCGGTGACTGTGTTATTGTGTCAATAAACATGCAACCAGTGGCTAATCATCCGGATATTTCTCCAAACCCTCTTCCAAATACAACAGAATAATCTGTTCTGTAGAGATCATCGTGCTCTGTATCATTAACCTCACCTCCCTGCTTTGTTTGGTGAGTTTTACATTCACCACTGGAAAGCATTTCACCCAGGCAACCATTGCAACCACAGTAAACAGCAGGAGGGGAGAGTGTTAAGCTCAATGCTGATATACTCACCACAACATGGCTTTACATTGGTGGATGGATCTGTTTGTTAATCTGCTCCGGTTTTACATTTAATCTGAGCATCCCGACTCAGAGTAACGATGCTGTGTGTGATCAAACGTAGAAGCCCATTTTGATCTGATAGCTTTTGATCTGCAAATGATCCTGATCTATTTGATATCATGCTGAAATCTGCTCCATTTAAAGCCACCTAGATATTAATAAGGACCCTCCATAGTGTATATGTGTGCTGCTGAATACAATAAACAGCACATTGGTGTCACCTTATGATAGGCCTATTTCTGTCCCCACACTGAGTCACACACTGTACACAATGATGTACACAATGAGCCCATATTTATTTTATAAAGGCAGCATCTTATTGAAGGGTGGATGCACCGGGGGCATACATAATGTTTACAGAGGGTGAATAGAGACATAAAGGGGGATGGGGTCAACATAAAGCCATCAGTGGACAAGCACAGCTGATCAGAGATCCATTTGTTTCTTACCGGAGAGCCAGAGCAACAGCAGCGCCGCGCTCAGCAGCTGAGCGGCAGACCTCTCCGGTACCGGGGAACACATCTTCCGGGAAAAAAACCGAGCCTTTATCAGTGGAAAAATATGTATACGTTAAAAAACACAGCAGGAATTCTGCTCTTGCGTTAATATGCTAAAAACTGTATTTGTTGTTTGGTTTTATAGGCAGGACATGGCTGGCAGTGTCTGTAGCCTTATGGCAGGTTGGTCTCATGGTTGTCGGTACGTTGGAGGAGGAGGAGGGAGGGCAGGACATTTTACAAGTGGAGTAAAATGGAGGACATCTGCCTCTCCTACAGGTTGTAAACAAACGGTTTGTATTACGTGTACACTTAAGAGCAACACCTATACGCTTGAAATTAAAGGAAAAAGAAAACAAATATTTACAAAATAGACCTTGAATGACTTATTGAAAAATATTTTAAATGCAGGGTATAAGGTGCACACGGCTTTGGTTTTTCAAATGCATTTTGATTTTGACCATGTTCAATTATTTTACCAATTAGCAATAAGATAAAATACATTGATTTAGCTGGTTTATCATTAGCTATTCATGCCATAGTCTCCACAGTTTCCACATTTCAATCAAACTGATCAAATTAGAGATTTTAAAGCAATGTGTTACAGCATTTTCATCCAAAATCATCAAAGAACCAAATAAAGGAACTCATATACGTGTATATTTGAAATTATAATCATCAATTACGACTATCCAGGATGCTTAGATAAGCTTTTCTAACACAGTTTATGTTGATTTTCCCTCACTTATGTGTACGTTTGTAATGTGAATGTAAATGAAGAGGTCAGCCACCACTTATCCAGGTGGGAGCAGGAGCTTTTGTATCTTGGACGTTTTTTTAGGTAACACTACCAAAATATCACATCTGTATTTGACCATGTGTGCACAATAATGTCTGTTTTGGGTCATGAGGATGAGGAGTCCCCTCTGAGAGAAACCAGGCTGCCGTGCAGACAAACAATAAACTAAACACAGCCATACCTCCCTCCTGATCATTCCCCAATCCATCCTTGCTTGGTGGGAGGCAGAAGGTGAGGATACCGGGAAATAAAAACAATGGTAGTCACATGGTTCATACCATCTACCTTTCACATTGTTACTTACAGGACGCAAAGAGGGTGTGATGTAATGTTGTACAAAGTACAAAGAGAAGCTGCAGTGAAACAGTTGCCAAATTCCTCTCTGAACGCTAAAGCTTGAAAACCCTCTGGGATTTATCAGGTGGTAAGAGCTTGAGTGCAAGAGGTCGTAAAGGCTCAACATGGAGTAAACAGGAAGGGGGAAAAGTGCTTCACACTCTATAAGCATTTATTTATTTAGATGATGTTTTGAAGAAGAGTGAAGGGCCAACACATCATCTATCAGTGGTTCTCAACTGCTGGGTCACGACCCAAAAGTGGGTCGCGGACCCATTTCGAGTGGGTCGCAGATGTGAGTTAAGAAAATAAAATATTCCTCTTTTTTTTTTGGTGGAAAAGAGTCAAACTTTTATTTTGAAGGCCCGATTTTCTAACGCTGTGCATGCAGTAGGCGTTGGACTGGAAGTACCGGAGGCCATAAACGGTTTTGGAAAACTTCTGTCACGTAGTGATCATCTTCTCAATACAACATCTTTGCTGATGTTTTTTCGAGTCTTCTGGCCAATCAGAATCAAGATTGTTGCAGGAAGTCCCCAGAACTATTCTTTATACATCAATGGGTACAACTTCAGATAGAAATGAACACATAATGAAATATGACCCCCGGTTTGATGATTGACAGGTCACAGAACAATGGGAGCTATCTACCCTTATCCACAATTTAAAGTAAGTCACACAAACTATCTCCTCTTTGATCTTCTCTCTGTGAGGAGCAGCAAGCTGTCAGAACAAAGTGAAACACAAACAATGGCATAAAATATTATTATTATGTCGGGTTGTAATACATTTATTTATTTTCTTCTCAGAGTATACCAGAATGCGTAGTTTATGTTAGTATTTCTAAAAATCTCCTGGGGGAGAATCCCCCTCAGACCCCCTTCTCGGGTTGGGTTTTCAACATGTGTGCCTTTTTATGTTATACAGTTCAGCTTTGATTCCATCATCTCATTAAACCTTATTTAAAAGCGTTCTTTAGTTCTGTGAAGGGATATAAGGGATATGCACTGTACTTCACTTTAATTAATATTGTATGCTGAAAAGCGTATATATATATTACAGCACAATTCTTTGTTGAATAGATTTGAGTGTTTCAAAATTTCGTGTCGCGATTTATTGACAAAGGATAAAAGTGTGTCCCGAGGCCTGACCAGTTGCGAACCACTGATCTAAATAAAGAGATGCTTCTAGAGAGTGAAGCGTTTTTCCCCTTCCTATTTGCTCCATGTTGAGCCTTAACGACGACAGAAACAGAGACATAGGCCGTTTCTCAATGTCGAGTAAACTGCCGAACCACTAGTTCAAGTATACTACGTCATCGAGTGGCGCCGAATGCTGGGCATTTAACATGCATTTAAACAGTCCTTCGGCGCCACTCGATGACGTAGTATACTTGAAATAGTGGCTCTGCAGCAGGTATACTCAACATTGAGAAATGGCCACAGGCTCTGAATTCTTAAATAGGCCACACCCGAGTCACACAGCTGACGGTGATTAGATAATCATGTCTTAGCAGGGCAAGGGGAAAAAATCAAGATGTACTGAGACAAAACATTGGCTGAAAACAGGCAATTAAAATGTCCATCTCTGATATAATGTCCTCTAGTCTTTTATAAAAACCGCATCATTTAGCAAAGAAGTAAAGGAATGGTTGATGAATACACCGGATGTGAAGTGGTTGCAACCCGTCTTCTTAAAGCCATGTGAAAGTAGTGTTTATTAAAATAAAAGTAGGTACCAGTGTACACAAGGCACCACAGCAGCATGAATTGGGTTACTCAGAAATGTGGACTTGTGAACAAAGTGGATATGCTTTGTTTTTAAACAGGTGGTTTAGTGTCTGTCATTTCTAATAGTATAGGGAGTGCTCCATCTAGTGTTTCACATAATACAGTACATGTCTTTATGGGTTGATAGAAATACCACAGTGAAGGGGAATGGTGTGTTTTTTGCTGTCTAGTGCAAAAACCGAATGCATAGCGGGATTCATATGGATGTAATAATGATTTGTTATTTACTTTTAATTATAGTTGCTGTAGCCATTGCCATATTTAGAAAAGAAACAAATTGTTCAAATGCTGTTAAACTATCTGACTAACTGTTGTTTTGGTCATACGATAAGCCAATTTGCCTGTGAAGCCACTTCATTATATGAGATAGCCTTTAAGTTATTTCGTTAATTCCACAGGAAGTTAGCATTTTACTTCCTGTGGCATACAGCCTGTCAGAAGTCTGCCTCAAAAGACCAAACGGAAAGTAGAGTTTGGCAAACACTCATCACGCAGGTTCCAATATGAGTGCATTACCTCCTGTTTGAGTTGCACATGTGGAAACAAGACGTAAAGAGAACATGTCAGCTAAAGAGTCTTCATGACCTAATGTGACATCCTTACTCCTTTGCAGACTCAACCTCTAAGTCCATGAGTGTGAAAGAGACTTAAAAGTGGGGTAGGTAAGTTTGAGAAACCGGCTCGAGATACACTTTTTGTTATATTCCATGGAATGCTCTTAACATCCCGATAGCAATGAATATCTGAAGTGCTTTGACAAAAAATCCATAAATAAATGTCATCTGTGGAAGCCGTAGTACTGTAAAAACCACGACCAATCATCTGAGCCGGCCCAGCTAAAGTAACTGGATGGCCTACCTGCCTGTCAGCCTTCCATCTGTGCACAAACTTATCTCGTGCTCTCATTGGTCATGTGCGCGTTCGTGTGTGTTGGAGGAGGGGCTCTGTGAGGAAGTGGCAGATTTTCTCCGGTCGTGTATTTTCAAATTCTAGCGATCTCGAGCCGGTTTCTCAAACTTACATACCCCACCTTTAATGATTTATTTGAATGGACAGATTCTTCAGAAAAGATGTGGGATGTCAGGATAAAGGGAAGAGGAAAGGACGATCACATACTATAAGGAGTGACTGAGGGAGGAGGCAGCTATGGAATGCAGGAGGAGAGAAAAGGCTCTTTAGAGGAGTGGTTAGAAAACATGAGGAGCAGAGTGAGGCGACTCTCAGTCTGTGGTGGGCATCACAAAGCTGCTGACTGATGATAAAGAGCTCATACAAACTCTACATGCATTCAGTGCATTCAGAGTGAAGGCTTAAAGTCCGGACACTGTCAAATAACACATGTGTGTCTATTCCATTATCCACAAGTGTTGGGTTGAGTGTTCTGAGAGTTGGGATGAACAAATTCACAATTCAACTGTTTTTATCAACTGTTTGTTGCTCCATGTTTGTATGTGTCTCTTTGAATGTATTCATTAAGGTTTATATTTGTTATGTTTTTGTTTTTTATTGTACATTTGTTGATGTTTTGGAGGAAATTAAACTTTGCAACATGTTGACATCTTAAATATAGAATATCAAACCCCCACTCTCTTAGTAAAAATAAAATAATATAAATATGTAAAAATTCATGTTTAGCATTCAAATAAATGCAGTCATTGTAAATTCATGATAGGCTATTGTAATGTGTACATGTCTGTAAGTAATGTAGCAAGCAAGTAATATATATATATATATGTATATAAGGATACCTATAGGAATTAGAATAGGAGTTATCCTCTGTGTGTGTGTGTGTGTGTGTGTGTGTGTGTGTGTGTGTGTGTGTGTGTGTGGCATTGCATTACTATCCTTGTGGGGACCTACATCTGTTTACACAGTCACGTGTGGGGACTCGCTTCCCTTATGGGGACAAAATGGAGGGAATAATTAATTTTAGGGTGAATACTTGGTTAGGGTTAGGCATGTGTTGGTTATGGTTAAGGTTAGGGTTAGGGTTAGGCATGTGTTGGTTATGGTTAAGGTTAGGATAAGTTTCCAGGAAATTACATTACATTCATTTAGCTGACGCTTTTATCCAAAGCGACTTACAATAAGTGCATTCGACCAGGAAGATACAACCTTGAAGAAAACAGAATCATATAAGTGCATCAGGTTTCATAGAGCTAAAACATTTCAAGTGCTACTCAACTGGCTTTAGATAAGCCAGTCCTTTATTAGTATATAAGTGCTTTGTTAGTAATTCTA